CACTTTTAAATAAAATCATTACCTGGGCAGATTCGCCATTCCCTATTTTTGTCAATGACTCTAATTGGATGCCAGGACCATATGATTATAGGGGACCTGCCTTCCCTGCAGAGGAGAGACTCCGTATCGATCAACATAAAGTAGGTATGGAGGGGCCACCTATCTGTATAGGAAAAGGTCAACATTGCATGAAACCTCAAACACAAACCTGGCTGGTGTCTGTTCTAAAACCTGAGGATGATATTCATGTACAGTTATTTTTGTTACAGGCCACTAATTTTGCCTTTACTACCAAATATCGGGACAATCCTCCAGATATGCCATTTTGTAAAAAGCCAAAAGTATCCGATTCTAAAGACTGGGTACGTTGGGAGGATTGTAGAGGGTCTTTTGGCCACATAGTTACAGGATCATCTTTTGGTCCTATAGTTGACTGGAGCCCTTATGGCCAGCCATTTTCTAGTAAAACATTTTCTTATCTGACTTGGAAAAAGAAAGAGAAAAAGACTTCTATCACCATAACAGATAATAGTACAGGAGGTGCTATTGGCTGGGTTGCGGATGGGTTGGCACCTCCTGCCCCACATATGCCTAAAGGTCCCATTCATAATCAGATTTGGAAACTAATGGCTACATTTCAATCATTAACTACATGGACAAGTCCTTTTGGCAGAGGAAAAAATGATACAAAAAAATGGACCTTTAATTTAAACAATACCAGGTATATTTGAGCTTGCGTGAAGTTAGCATACTTAATTAAGATTGGTGAAGCAGTATATGATGAATCCGAATTTTCGGTAACTTGTAATAATTGTCATTATTACACTTACATCAATAGATCAATACCATTTCACCCTTACAAAGACTCTCTTTATATTCTAAAGGCTAGAAATGGAGTTTGGTTGCCACTAAAAATGAATAGGCCCTGGCAAGAAACCCCTGCAATGTATTTGCTAGATAAATTATTAAATCATATTGTAAAATGATCAAAAAGATTTATAGGAATCTTAATATCAGGAATTTTGGGAATAATTGCAGTGACTGCTACAGCAGCCGTTTCTGGCATTGCTTTGCATCAGACGGTACAAACTACAGAGTTTGTTCAAAAATGGCATCAGGATGCTAACTGATTATGGACTACCCCAAATCGGATTGACAATAAATTGGCTGCTGAAGTTGCAGATTTGCAACAGACTATTTCTCTATTAGGGGACCAGGTTGTTAATCTGAAAAAACAAATTAGACTGTGTTGTGATTGGAATACTTCTCAGTTTTGTGTTAACTCCACATCTGTACAATGAAACAAAGTTTCTTTGGGAGGATATTAAAAAACATTTATTGAATCAAGGAAACTTGTCAAGTGAAATTGGAAATTAACAACAAGAAATCATTAATACTTTCAGTCAAAAACTTAACCTGCTGTCAGAATCTGAAGTGATGGATGGCATTACTTCTGGATTAAATCATTTAAATCCCTTTCCACATTTACCTATCATTGGAGGCTCAGCAATAGGACTTGTAATGCTCATATTAATTGTTGTAATTTGCTTAATCATAGTGTGGAGGCAGCTACGAAGACAACAAGGAGACCAAGACCGAAGGGTAGCAGTGATGGCGGTGCAGCTTCACGAACTTGCAGCAAAGAAAAAAGGGGCAGATGATAGGATTAAGATCACTGGGACTTAGGGATGCTGTGTCTGAGGCTGTGAGAGGAGAGGAGGTGAAGGAATTGCCTGAGCAGAAGCCTGAAATAAGGGCAGATGTAAACTGCCTAGTTGGGGGACATATATCAGCAGTCTGGGAGTACAGCAAAGCATGCGCCAACCTCAGAGCCTGAGGGGTTTCATGCCTGAAAAGCCATGGGCGGCCTGACATGAAAACGTCTCATGGCTGTAGAGGTAGATTGCAGTATGTCAGCCCGGGAGAAGGGTCTCAGGGCTTCCATTGTTTGAACACTGGGCCAAGTTCCTTCTCTCCCTTTCTCTCAATAATGCCTCAGTTAATATAAAACCAGTCTCCCAGTGGAAACCATGTAGTTTCTCTGTTCCTTGAGCAAACGTGTCACAGCTACTGAAGTTAGAGATTGATATCCACGTACATAGCTTGAGCTTGGGATAAAATGAGTTAGTTTACCTTGATCAAAAAGATTGTATCTACTGAAGAATTATGTGTTTTTCACTTCTAGAAAGGAGAAGGAAATTAGCTAGGACATCTTGTGATTTTGGGGGAGAGTCCCGAGACCTTTGATCATTGTATCCTGTGATTTTTTCACATGAGATCATTATATTTTGCAGCATGGCAAAGAGAATAAAAAGCAAGTGCTGGGTTTCAGTCAGTGCCACCTTGGCCCCAGAGTGCTGGTGGTCCCCTGGTTTCCCCACTCTCTTAAATATTATTTCTGTTTCTGTGTCTTTGTTTCATTCATTTCTTGCAACAAATTCTGCCAGGGGAACCTATCTTTATTGGGGACATCGTGAACCTCCGATACTTGGCCACCAGTCCCATCTTACTTAGGGACACGGAGCTGGGTTTCTTGTGGATCACAGGCACCCTCCTTCCTCACATAAAACCGGCAAAGACCTCTGGTCCTTAGGAAATGGCATGGGCACAAGTGTGGACAGGAGAACTTCAGCATCCTTCTCCCATGAGGTAGCCATTTATCTGACTGTCCTACTTGCACATACCTGTGCCTCTGCCTCTGTGTGTACGTCTACACGTGTGTATGTGCATGTGCATACGTGTGCAGGGGTAAATGCCGGAGTTCCCAGAGCTCCTGCATGTGGATCCAGCTCAAGCCTTTAGTTTTGAAAGTGTAAAAGAATGGTAAGTGAGACTGGCTTACTCAGCCGCAACATTCTGTTGAATCATGGATCTCACTTTTATTTTCATGTATGTGTGCAAGGGCCTGATTGTGTATGTGTGAGTGCACTCTTGTGTGCAAGAGGAGCAAGCCCAGGACAAAGTCCTGAGGCCTGCATGGAGGGATGCAGACTGGGATCCGAGTCCATGAGGACTTGCCCGATGGGCGCCTCTCACACCACAAGCATGATCGGAGTCAGAACTTGCACCCAATACGTGAATAAGCTTCTAAGGCCGTTGGTGGCTTAAGCTGCAAGAAGCCAGATGTCCAGGAGTGTGCTGTCCCCGTGGCCCTTTAGAAGCTCATGCACTATTCTACTAGTTTTGCAGTTGCTACAAACATTCAGAGATCTTATGGGAATTGTTTTCCAAATGGGGGTACATTGTTAGATTCTTCTGTGGGCACCTTGAAGGCGGATTAATCGGGTGAGAAATACCTGAGTCACCTTGTGTCTGTTTGTGTGCATAGAGGAGGTATAGGAAACAGATGATGTTTCCCTTCTGTATTTTGTTTGTCCCATGGGTTTTATTTAGTCAGCGGTGTGGATGAAGTCCCTGGGCGTGCAGCACCCAGAGCAGGAGGGCGGGATACAGAGCTCAGCCTGGGAGCTGCGGCCTATTGCTGGGGGGTGAAACGGACACAGACCCCAGGGGCCGAGTGCGCAGAGCACACATACTTTCTCTGCAGGGCCCGTCCAATCAGAGTCCTGGTGGGTGACACTTGACTTCTGGTGGCTCCAACACTCCGCCTCAGCTGGGTGTTTCTGATGTTTGCCTGGGGACATTATCGTGTGTGTGCCTTGGCTTGCCAGGTGAGATGCACTCACACACGTGTGGCTTCCCTGCTTGGCTCAGCTTCCCCGGAGCTGGACGAAATCCCTTGCTTCTCAGATCCCTTCATCTGAGTCTCCTTCTGGCTTGCCTGTGGCTGCTGTGACCAGCCTTTATCCATGCTTGACGGTGGGCTTCCTGGAGGTGGGGTGATAGTGTGCAGGGGTGAATTTGCCAGTCCTCGGCCAGTGGCAAAGCCCTTCCCTGACTATCCCCCGGGGTGAGCAGTGCTGGGCTGTGTCTGCCTCAGATCTGTACCCCGCCCCCGTTCTTGGCTCATAAGTGCCCCTCCTGGGACCCTGCCCCTCAGCTTTTCCCTATCCTCACACTCACCTTCCTGTCCAGCCTGGAGGGGAGGGGTTGCTCTGACCTGCTGCCTCACCCCAGCACCTGCTACATTTGTGGGTGCTCAGTGGGTGGTCTCCAAGCTAATGAGTGAGCCAGCCAAGTTCTCTAAGTTTTGGGGCTGTGGTCCTCTGAGCGAGGGTGAGACATCCTGGGACAGAATTTCACTGCTTGTGGGGTCATCGGGCTGGTAGGGAAAGCCTTGGCCTTGTGGGGACCCTGACTCAAAGCCATGACCTCTGGCCCCTTGGCCAGCTGGGAACTAGGAGGAAGAATGGCTGTTGCTGTGCACTGTGGCGGCTCTTAGAAGTCTTGTTGTGACCCGGGACCCCCGCCAGCTGTGCCACCTGCAGTGCCGAGAGCAGAAGGACCCCTCACAGGTGAAGGCTTGCCCCGCCCCTGTGGCCCTCCCACTCTGAGCCTAGCCCCTCCCTGCCCAGGTCTCAACTGGTTTCAGAGAATCATGGGGTTCAGACCCAGATGCTGGCTTGAGCCCTCACTCTGGCGGGTATGTGCTGGTGGCCTTGGAGACATCCCGGAACTCCTCTGGGCTGGTGTCTTGGCCCATAAATGAGATGGCAGTGGCATCGGTTCCCTAGGTAGCGGGCTCTCCTCGCAGTTGTCGCACGGCAGGTGCCTCATGCGGGTGGCTGAATTAAGCTGAGTGAGAGAAAGGTGGGAAGGCATTGGCGACGGTGGCGGTAAGCTGCCATTCACGGAGCACTTCCTGCATGCTGGTAACCTCCTGCTGGCATAGCAACCCCAGAGGTTGGCACTGTCATCCCATTTTATGGAAGAGGAGCTGGAGGCTCCAACAGCTTGCACAGAGCCACTCAGGTGGTGAGCACCAGGGCTGCGGTGTGTACTATGGTCTGAGGTTCTGGAAACTTCCTGCCCCCTAGGGCATGAGTGTGCATGCATGAACGCCATCACCGTCACCGTTGCTCAATCACCTGCTGGTGGAGCTGGAGCCCTCCGTCACAGTGAGCACCCACGAGGCTGTCCTAAGCGAGTGCCTGCCCTACACGAGGCAGCGGCTGCCGCACTCGTGTACTCCCTGCTCCGCCAGCAGTTCCGCCAAGTCCTGGCCACCACAGCAAACGGCTGCTGAAGAGACACCAGTACCCGATCTCCCCCCACAACAGCTCTCTGGTCACGGAGGACTACTTCTGCCTGCAGCAGACGTGCCGAGGGCCCTTCTGAGGAGCCAAGTGGATGGGGCACAGCCCCTGCCACAGAAACACCACTTTGGAGCCCCCAAAAACCTGCAGCTTGGTTTGGGCAGAGGTTGAGGTGCAGGGAGGAGGAGTGTGGTGGGTGTCAGTGTGGGTGGCAGCAGAGGTGAGGAAAGCCACAGGCTGTGGATGCTTTTGGCTCTGGGCTTGGCCACCTGGCTGCTGGGTGGCCTCAGGACAGTGGCTTTTCCTCTCTGCACCTCAGGTTCCTTACCCTCTTTCTGGAGTTGTGATGCTCCAGGATGGGGAGGGAAGCACCCGCATAGCACAGGATGCCCGTGGGTGTCCTGTGAGTGACAGCTGTCTTTATGGGTAAGGTGGCCACGCCTGCGCAAGGTCTGCCGGGCAGCCAGCTTGACGCCTGTGGTTGCAGCCTAGTTATTAACATTGTGCTTTGTTTTGAAAGATCAATTCCATGGCAAGTCTGGTTGGGGGCTCCCAGAGCTCACGTCTGACAGTCTGTGGTCAGGGCAGGTGGGGGTGGGCATCTCCGGGACGTGCCCGGCTCTGAGAACCCAGGAGACCCAGCCCCTGGACTCCACTTCTGCCCACCGTGGCTGGCGTGGCGGAGCTCACGTGGGGCCTGCATCCCAGCTTCCTTCCCGTGGTTTGCTGAGGGGTCAGCACCTCGACGGGGAGGATGGGGGGACTGTCCGTGTGCTCAGAGCCTTTCCTGGTGCAGGGGCTGTCAGAGCAGACGGGCTATTTCCTTCCCCAGAGGCCACTGCTGGGCCTCTGATCCTGGTCATGTGGTGTCCAGAGACTGAAGCCGCAGACAGCCCAGGTGTCCAGGGAGGCATGGCCCAAGAGGCGGAGGGGCCTCACCACCCAACTGCAGCCCCTCTGCTCAACCCTGGGGGAGCCGGGACTTCCCTGAGTGGCAGTGGGCACCTTCCTCAGCCTGGCGATCCTGGGGCGCCAGTCCTGGGTGGGGCACTCACAGTTGAAGTCCCTGAATGTTCCCGTGGGACAGCTGTAGGAATTCCGTGCACATCTGTCGTACTCCACGGCTCAAGGGAAGAACGGTGCCAGTGCACACACAGGCCCTTGGTGGAGATGGGGGCATATGAATGAGCGAGCGAATGAATGAATGAGTGGGCACAACTCTCTCCTCAGCCTCTGTCACTGCAATTTTCTTTACTCTTCAGTCCCCAGGGCCATTCTCTGCAGAACCGGGGTGGGCTGTGGGCTCTCAGGCCCACACCAGGTGGGAGGATGGGAAGATGGTGACAGGGTTTCACCCCGGGGATCTCAGAGGCACCAGGGCCTGCATCCTGGCACCTCACATCAAGGTCAGCCACGCGGGGAGAGTGTGGACCTCAAATCCTTTCCTCCAGAGGCCGGACTCTCCAAGGACATTAGACACACAGCGGTTGTCTGCTTGTGGCCTGTCTGCATTTGTGACAGTTTATAGTCTGGTGGGGCTAGTTTGACAAATGCTTTTCCAAATAACTGGGTATTGTTTGGCTGATTTGCCAATGTCTCCCCCAAAAGGAGATATTTAAAAGTGTTTGTAAATCATAAGGTGCAATTCAAATTAAAAATTATTCTTAGGAATAATAATAACTATAGGGATATGGTCAGGAAGCAGTTAAAAATGTTAAAACACACAAACAAGCCTAGCCAGTTCAATCCAACTCACTCCGGGTCCCTGCACTGACATCTGCACTCCCAGCCGCTCAGGACAGCGGGTAAAGGAACCTAAAGGTGGTCGGGGCCAATCCCTCCAGCAGGGGACACAGCTGAACTGGACCTGGGGGTCCAGCGGCACTGTCCCGGGGTTCAGGGCATGTGCACAGACGGGCACGCTGGCTGCACTGGCTTGCAGGGCTGTGAGGAGCAGCCAGTGGGCAGATGTCCAGCTCCTTCTCCAGGGAGGGGGAGAGGGGCTCTGGGAACACGGTCAGCTGGAGCCGCGGAGGTGTCTTCTCCTTACTTAGGGGCCGAGGCTCTGGTCTCCCTGTTCCCAGGCCCCTGGGGATCTCTGTCCAGAGGCTCTGTGCTGCAGGGAGGTGGGGGCATGGCGAAAGGGGCCCTCCTACTCCCCCAGGTGCAGAGGAGGAGCGGGAGCCGTTCCAGATCCCTGGGGCCAGCCTCCCCAAGCCACAACCTTGCCTTGATTCCTGTCTAGGGAAGGGGCAGGGAGAAGGGCCTTTAAGCCACAACCTCAGTCCCCTGACATATCCCTGCTGGCTGTGCTGGTGACGTCCTCCAGTGGATGGCCACCAGCTCACAGGTAGGGAGTAGCCCAAGGCTTCCCAGGTACCTAGCAGTGGTCTCCACACAGCCCCTCCCTGTGCACCCACACCCACCGCAAGCCTCAAGGGTCTGGAGGGGGACCCTCATCTGGGGAGGCCCATAGCGGGGAGCCCCCCGCCTCCACTCCAGACCTCCTGTCCTGGGATCAGGGTTTGGGGCAGGAGCAGTGGCCTGCGGCGCTCTGGAGGGGCTGGAGCCGGGGAGGGGCGGCCGCGTTTATCTGCCTCCGCTCAGCTCAGCTTGGGTTTCTGGCGCTGCCCCTGTAACCCGACTCCCGCGCCCCCCCTGCGCTGGGGGCGGGAGCAGACGAGCAGCGCCCGGCCTCAGCCCGAGTGCCACATCACTGCGCCCGCGCCCACCATGCCGGCCCGGGCGCTGCTGCTGCTGCTGCTCGCTGCCCTGGCCGCCGCCGCCCGGGGGTGCGCGCTCGCCCGGGACCCCGCCGGTAAGGCCGCCCATCCGGCCGGGACCTTCCTCCCGCTGGTCAGGCGCCCACGCCAGCGAGAACGCCCCCAAAGCGGGCGCCATGTGACCTGGGACCAGGGGTGGCATCTGGACTGGTACCCCAGGGCTGAGTGCAGCGGGTAGCAGAGGGACGCCGGCCTGGGCCAGGGGCGAGGTCCTTCAGGGTCAGGGCAGAGCAGCAGGGGCACCCCAGGTCCTTCCAGGACTCCTGACCCCTCCCTCCCAGCCAGGGGCTGTGATGTGGACCATGGGGTCCCCGAAAGCGCCCAGGGGGCTGAGAGGGGTGTGGACGCTCCTGGAGGGGTCAGGGCAGGGAGAGAGGGGGTCCCAGGGATGCTGGGGTGGGGATGCCTGTGCATGTGACCTGCCTGAGGGGTCCTGTGGCTGTGGGGTGGGGGCAGGTGGGCAGAGGCACACCCCTACGGCAGCAGCTGGAGGTGCGGAGGTGCATCTGCCAGCTGTTCTCTGGGCTGGTCCTGGGAGCAGCCTTCTGTGCTCCTGAAGGGCGGGGGTCCTCTTGGGCTCAAGGGTCCAGCTGTCGGGTTCAGAACCTCTCGAGTGCTGGGTCTGTGGACACCTGAGACTTGCCTGGACAGGCGGGGTGGATGTGCCGGGAGCACCCTCTTCTCTGGTGCCAGCGTGTATCTTTTCCCTCTTCTCTCTCAGCAGGACTTTCCCGTCCTCCTTGGGCCTCCCCCTGCCTCTGCCCCCTTCCCTCGTTCTGCCCAGGCCAGGCAGGGTGTGTGTGTGGGCAGGTGCGTGCGGGATGCTGCTAGAACATGCACAGTGTCATGGATGGACCCCCGCCACCCCACCGAAACCCCTGAGATCCCTGAACGTGTCTAGAATCATAGGCTTGTCAGAGACTCCAGCCCCCTCCTCCAGGAAGCCTTCCTTGACATGTCTTTTTCCCAGGGAAAAGTGCAGCCCCCTCCTCTGGACGCCGGCATTGCTGGCCGCCCCTTCCTCACCAGGAGGATGGGCAGGGTGATCTCTGTCTCTGGCTGGCACTGAGCTCGCGTGTCATCAGTGTTTCCAGAATAAATCTGTCCTTGCAGACGAGCATGGAAGTCAAGTGCCTCTCCAGAGCCAGGCCGAAGTGGGCAGAGCCAGGCTCCTTATCCAAGGGCTGCCACGCCCCTGTCACTTGTCAGAGTTCAGAACAGGCCTGGGCATTTCTGTCCCCTCTGCCTCATCCCGTCTTCACAGGGGCTGAGGTGACTTTCATGCTGCTAGGGTCTGGGTTCTGGGTTCAAATCCTGTCTTGTCTACTGTGCTGTGTGACCATGGGCAGATGGACTGACCTCTCTGACCTCGTCCAGGTTTCTCATGAGCTAGAGAGGGCCCTGACAAGGAGGAACAGCCTCTTGTCAGTTTAAGAGGAGGGAGGGATTCAGTGCAACCTCCATTCAAGGTTGAAGAAATGCTGCCACCTGGTGGTTGCAAGGCAACAAAGGGCTAAGAAGCAGTTTTCAGACCAGCACCATCCCCAGAAATATCACGCCAGTCACACACGTAATTGTACGTTTTCTAGTAGCCACACTAAAGAGGTAATAAGAAACAGGTGAAATTAATTTTCATAACAAATTTTATTTAATACAATATATCCAAAATATTATTCTTATATTTTGTCATTAATACAGAAATTACTAATGAAACATTTTACATTGTTGTTTTAGTACTAAATCTGGAATGTGGCGTTTTGCACTGATCCACACGTCGGTGTGGACTTGCTGCATTTCGAGCACTCAGTCGCCACATGTGGCCGGTGTGGGCTGAGACCCTTCTAGATGTGCAGTCTTCCACCCTCTGTGTTCCAGCAGAGGAGAGATCGCGTCTGGGGCTGTCTCAATGTGTCCTGTGGGTGGGGGTGCGTGGCTGCACTGAAGATGGACAGGCCATCCGTGGTGGCCGTGGCTTCCGCACTCTGTGACTGAAAGAGCAGGTGGGGGCTGGGATGGGCAGAGAGTGGGCTTTGGGTCGACTGGTCTGTCCCTTTTGTGGGTGAAAGTCAGAGGCCCAGAGAGGCCAAGCCAGCTGGGTAAGGCCCAACCTCATTCCAGAACTGGCTGTGTGGTCTCGGGGCGGTTGCACAACCACTCTGGCCCTGTCTCCATCCCATCCCGACTGTTGTGGCCAGAGCAGCACACGTGGGGCTCCTTGTCACGGGTTGAGCTGTGTCCCTGAGAGAAGCTATGTTGAAGCCGTAACCCCTGGTGCCTGAGAATGTGACCTTACTTGGAAATAGGGCCTGTGCAGAGGAAATCTGTTGACGATGAGGTCTTAGTGGGTTAGGGGGGCCCTAGGTCCAATGACTAGTAGCCTTAGAAGAGGGAGATCAGGACGTGGGCGGATAGACAGGGAAGAAGGACATGTGACTGCAGAGGCAGAGACGAGGGGCGCGGCCACAAGCCAAGGAACGACTGGGGCTGCCTGAGCTGGAAGAGGCAGGAAGGAGTCTCCCTAGAGCTCTCAGGGGAGCACAGCCCCGAGACACCTGGATTGGAGAGCTCTGGCCTCCGACTGCGAGGGAGTGAATTTCTGTTGCCTTAACCCACCCACTTGTGGTCCTTTGTGACCACGTTAGTTTGCAGCCCTGGCAAACTGATCCATCCCCTCTCTTCCTTACGCATGTGGCCATTCCGGAAGCAGGGATGACCCAGTTGGCAGTGCTGGCCCCTTGCCACCTCGATCAACCCCCGATCCAGCAGCCCGGCCTGGTGGGAGGGTCACAGAGCAGCCCTCCTGCTCGCTGCACACCCCCACTGCACACCAGGCGCTGCTCTCCCATTACCTTGTTGGATCCTTCAGCTGCCCTGGGGGGGAAGCATGACTATTATCCCCAGTTCACAGATGAGGAAACTGAGGCACGAGATGTTCAATCTCTGAACCCCAGTTTCCTCAACCGTAAGTAAATTAGGGAGACTTGAAGCCACAGGAGCCAGGAGGTATCTGCTTGTCCAGCCCCTGCCTGGTGGTCCAGATGCTCATGGACCAGGGCACCCAGTGGCCTTGGAGGAGCTGGCACAGGGAGGGAAACCTCACCACGCGCTTCCCTGAGGCCAGCAGAGGCCCAGGGTCAGGTTAGAGTTAGTCCTTCTGCCCATTGACATCTGCCAAGAATCTGAACGAGTCCCCAGGTTTCCCCACACTCAGCTCCGTGCCAGGCACACAGCTGTCACGCCATCAGAGCCCTGGGACGCGTGGACAGGGAGGTAGTGAGGGGCACTCGGTTAAGGTTGTCCACGTGGTGAGCCCCGGCCGCAGAGCTGACTCAGGGTAAGGCAGTGAATCCTGGGACCCTCACAAGCTCTGCAAACGGCCAGCTTTGGATGCAGAGGCTCCCCCAGGGTGTTGTCTCTAGCTGCACAGACGGGCAGAGAACGGTGCAGGATCCTGGGCCAGTTTCTTCCTTTCCTTTTTTCCCTAAAGTCTTGGTTCAAGATGCCATGGCTCCTTCATTCCACAGAGTGGTGGGAGCACACGTCTGGGAACACTCAGGACTGTGATGGCCTGTGAGTCCCACGGGGTGTCCGTGAGGGTGCCCCGCGAGTCCCATGCCCGCAGGTCCAAGAGCGAGTGGTCATGCTGTGTGGGGGACTCAAGCCGCCTGTTGCTGACTCGCGCCCCACCTGTGCTGTGGGCGTCTGCGGGCACGGGTGGGGGTGCACTCAGCCTCTGTCGGGTCAGGGCTGCTGTCCCATTGCCCAGACACTCCAGGAAAATGACACTCTTGCCCATTGCTTTCCCCAAGTGACACTGGCCAGTTAGAACAACAAGGACTCCTTCTGCTTGTTGTCCCGGGTTGTCGTAAAACAGGAACAGCAATGATACGCGTGTTGTTTATGGAACATCTGCCCATGCCAGATCCCGTGCTGGGCACTGGGCGCGGCCGTCCCATAGAAGCTTCACAATATCCCCACAGAGGGATCATAATGAGCCCCATGTACGGTGGGGGGATGAGGCACAAAAGAGCCCCTCGTCCAGGTCTCCTTGCTGTGAAGGGTGGGGTTGGAGCCCAGAACTTCCCAGGTCTGGTGCTGGGCGTCCTCCCTGCCCCCGCTGCCCGCGAGGCACACGGTCAGTGTTCTCCAACCACGTGGTTTGGACAGGGAGGGACGGTGGGTCCCAGGGCGGCAGGCATCTTCCCAGGCCATCTGCACACTCCCTGTTGCACACCCTAAATGAGTTTGCGTGGCTCTTTTGTCATCACTTACGAGGGTGGAAACTGGTGTTGCTATATGAGCTCCTGGTGGTGGGAAGGGACCCTGAACGTCACCATCACATGAGAGCTTTGCCTGCTGGTCGGCGTGGGGACGAGGTCTGTGGTTGCCCGGTCCACAGTGGGGAAGCCAAGCCCTGGGAGTGTCTTGGAAGAGGGAGCACCCGGCTAGGTCCATACTCCCACGTCGTCTCCGTGTGGGGAGCTGCTGTCGGTTGCTTATCTGCACATGCTCAGACAAGATCTCACAACCCCCAAATTTTAAGGTTGACTCCTAAAAGCAGCCCACCCTTCCCAGCACCAAGGCTCAGTCCTGGGTTTTGGGTGGGGTTCCAGGAGCAGAACCTTTTCCTCTGTCTCCAGCCTCTTGCCCACCTGCTCCTGGCTGACGCCCTCCCCACCTCCTGCAGTTCCCCACCTGCCGCTTGGATTCCGCTGTTCCTGGCCGGCCTCTCCAGGCCCCTTCCAGGGCCAGCTGAGCTGACGCTGGCACCGAGTTCCCCGCTGTGAGTCCACCCTTCCCACAGAGCACTTGGCACCTGCTTCTACAGGAAACTCAGCAGTGGGTGTTGGTTTAGGTTGGTTTTATTTGGCCTCCACAGGGTCTTGCTGTTGGGTCCAGGTGTCTGGCCTTTGGGGAGGGTCCTTAAAACCCCACAATTGCAAGGATAGTTTTGTGTGTTGATCCTTTTTTTTCTTGGAAGAGGATCCCCAACTCAATAAATGGTGAGCCTCCCTCTCGCAGCGTGTTCTCAAGGGCAGGGAGCCTGCACTTGGCTGATTCTTGGCGGAGTTTCGAATAACGTGGGCTCAGAGTCAGGGGTGTGGTGGAGCCAGTATGGGCTCCTGGGCGCTGACTGCTAAATATTCCGGAATCCTATGAGAATTAGTTGTTAAACTGCTGGAGGCTTGAAACGGGCCGTGATGGGAGTGTTAATATTTACACCATGGTAACTGGCCGACACCATGAGGTGGGGCTTTGTAACCGGGAGAGGGTTTGCCAGCACCCTTTGTCAGCCCAGCTTGAGCCAGATGGAGGCCCTGAGCCACACTGCCTTCGGCCTGTCTTTCTTCAGCAAGTCACATGGCCTGCCTGAGACTCAGTGCTCTCCCCCGAGAATCGGGGTGACAGCCGTGCCTACCCCAGAGGCTGCTGTGAAAACTAAACGAGTGACCCTGGCGGAGGTGGCCCAGGCTGGGACCCCGAGAGCACTCAGCCGACAACGGGCGCAGTTATGGGATGAGTGAGCAGCAGTGGCCGTGTCCCTAACGCTGCTGTGTCTCTTTCCAGGTGAATGCCAAAGGCCCGCAGCTGCACAGAGCGGTACAGTACCTGGACCTCCCCCGGTTTTGTTTTGTAGCCGTGCTCCGGCCCCTCCAGATATCAAAACATTTTAGAGAGCTGAACCCGTGTTTCCAAGTGGGTAATGAATAACACAGCCCATTAATCAAACCCAAACCCCTCCTTACACAGCTAGAAATTAGACACAATGAACTGGCCAGCCCTTCCCTCGGGTGCACCGCGGCCCGTCCTGCTCTGCCCGCCTGGACCCCAGAGGTGTCTCCCAGATCCCAGGCCCCACCGACGGGGCAGCCCTGGATGGTAGCCCAGGCTGCTTGGCCTGTCTGCGTGCGTTTCTGCACCGGCAGCTCTGTGCTGGGCACCCATGAATCCGGGCCTTGGGCAGGTCCCCTTCCCCCTCTGCACCCCAATTTCCTCCTTTGTGGAATGAGGAAGAGGAGGGGTGTACTGACCTCCTGGGGTGATTTTGAGAATTATATGGGATCCCGTGTATTTGAAGTGCTCAGGACGAAGCCAGTTCTCTAAAAGAAGCAAACATTCCTTCAAGTCACCTCCGGCCAGATTGGGGCATCTGGCATATTCTAGTGGAGGGATTAGACTTTTTAAAAAATCAGGAAAAATTTTTCCCAGCACAAAAGCCAATGGCATATAGCAAATGTACTGAACGGAGGAATGCTGAGCAGAAACAGACCTGTCCTTGCTAAACTTTGACGTGGAAAGCGGCAAAATGTCACGACCGGTACCATGTGATGCCGCTCCACAAAGTCCAGCTGGGGACAGGGGGAGAAGGCGCCAGGGGCGAGAGTGCAGAGCAGCGGCCTCAGGGACAGCATCTTGCAGCACAGGGGTCTAGAGGGCCCTGCGTGGCAGGTAGGAGCCCGTCCACACGGGGCTGGACTCCACTCATGGGCTGGAAAAACAGCCACAATGATCGAGCATGATGGAGCGTGAAACTGCCCAGCGAGAGTGAAGACCCCGCCTCCCTCCTGGGCTTAACATGTCCTTGCAAGATGCAGAACAGACAGGCTGGGCCAAACGCAGCTGTCTGTATCCCGCCTTCTCGCCAAAGGTCCTGAGCCCCAGCTCACCAACTAGGGGTTGGCTTTCTCCCCAGCGACACAAGTCGGTCCAGGCAGTATGCATCTTTGGGGACCTCTTTGCCCTGTGGCTGTGTCTTCAGGGCGGTTTGCACCTGTCTCTGCCTAATGCAGTCTGCTGGCCTCTCTCATGGGCCTTTACTTGGGGGAACCCTCCACGTGACTTCTGTCTGCTTTCCTGTCCCCACTTTGCACCCTGAGGCTCCGAGTGACCTGCCCCGGCTTGCTCCCTAGTGGGGAGTTGAGCCCAGTCAGTCTCAGGACCCTTCTCTGGTTGTCCCGCAGGCCCCAGCTTCCTCCAGAGCGACCCTTGTCCTGGCCCTCCCCTGCCAGATGGCAGGTGGCCCTGTCCCTGCAGGCCCCACCCGTGGGTGGGGTCTCAGTGGGCAGAGCAGGCCCCTGGTAAGTATCTGACGCGGGATGTGGGCCATCACGGGAGGGAGTGACATTCCAATCTGCCTCCCCAGCCTCCTGCGTGGGCCTGCAGCTCAGGACCTGCAGCGATGCCGCCTACAACCACACCACCTTCCCCACCCCGCTGGAGCACCGGTCGCGTGAGGCGGTGGAGGCCAGCTCCGAGTACATTCTGCTCAGTGTCCTGCACCACCTCTTGGAGGGCCAGTGCAACCCCGACCTGCGGCTGCTGGGCTGCGCTGTGCTGGCCCCCCGGTGCGAGGGCGGCCGGGCGCTCAGGCCCTGCCGGCACGTCTGTGAGAGCCTGCGTGAGGCCTGCCAGCCTGCCTTTGATGCCATCGACATGGCCTGGCCCTACTTCCTCGACTGCCACCGCTACTTCGCACACGAGGAGGAAGTCTGCTACGACCCGCTGGAGAAGCTTCGGGGTAAGGGGAGGCCTTGGGGAAGGCCAGCAGTGGAGCAGTCAGGTGTCCAGGTGGTCAGTGAGGCCAGAGCCACATGAAGGGAGCAGCTGACGCTTTCGCAGGGGCTGCAATGGCGCAGGTGCTGGCCCTGTGGCCCCAGCACGATGCCAGGCAGGGGTCAGGTAAGGTCAGTGCAGAGGGAGCGTCGTCCCACCGCCCGGGCCGTGCCTCACCCAGGCTCCAAGGAGGAGGCCTGAGCAGAGATGCCCCTGGTCAGGGGCAGATGTGGCCTGAGGGGATGGAGGTTCTCAGGGGGCAGATGTGGGGTGTGAGGGGATGGAGGTGCTCCGGGAGCACACGTGGGCATGAGCAGGGCTGGCCTGTGGCGGGTCCCTGTGCATCCCCTCCAGAGCACTGCAGTGCCCGCCGTGCACCTAGTCTGGGCTGGCAGAGCCTCATAATTGCCTGTGTCTGAACCTCGCAGGTCACATGGGGAATTTGGGCCTGGAGTGGACTCCTCAGAGTGGAGTGTGTGTGGCCCTTGGGCCATGGGATGTGGGGAGACGGGCTCTGGTGTCTGGTGTGGACAGACCAGTGGGGGTGGAGCAGCAGCCTGGCAGCAGTGGGCCACTCGTGTCCACCATGCGGAGAGGTTGCGGAGAGATCACAGAGGGCCTGGTGCTGGGTGGCCTACAGGGGCCTTCCTGTGTCTTTTCACCCCTGAGTCTGTCGTCCACCCCTCCGGCACGAAGCAGGGGGCCCACAGTAGACCCAGTGTGGCCTGCAGCAGCACTGGCAGCAGAATGTCCTGCGTAGGGGGAAGGTGCCACCGCACTGTCCGAGACAGTGGCCACTGGGTGCTTGGCACGTGGCCACCGTGACTGAGGCCCTGACATGTTCCTTTTACTTCATTTAGATGACTTTAAACTTAAATTTGCACAGCCTCACGTGCCAGTGTGTGCCATGCCACGGTGTCCAGTCCCAATCAGGTTCACAGGGCTGGCGCCGGACACTACGCAGGTGCTGTCTCATCTCAGCTCACGACAGGCGGGTGTTAGTTCTTCACCTCACGTCTCGGAGGAGGAAGCAGAGGCCCCGGGAGTGACCAGGCCAGTCACTGATGGATGGACTGCTTTGTCCATCAAACGGCTGCTGAGCACCTACTGTATACATGGCTCTGTGCTGGGACACTGAGGATGGCGGTGGAGGGGACAGGCCCGCCTCTGGGGCGGAGTCTGGGCTGGGCCATGTGGGGATGCAGGGCTGACCCTGGTGCTCCTGGTCTGAGAGGGGCCGTCCACCCCGGGCGTCTGCGCGGTTGCAGCGGAGCCATCTGCCTGCGAAGGGCCCTCAGCCCCCGCAGAGGCGCCGCAGGGTGGCGGAGGTGGCTGTGGGAGGCAGGGATGGGGGAAGGAAGCCAGGCGGCTCCTAGTGCCAAGCCCACTGCCCTGGGAAAGCCCGAGGAGGTTACTGAGAGAGATTATTTCAGGCGTCTCCGCCACCAAATTGCCAGTTCCATCTGCTTTGTTTCCCTTGGAGAACCTTTCTGAGCAGAAACAAAACCACAGGCGGGTGAGACACTCGGGGGAAAAGCATTAACTCTTTGTGGTCCCCAGGGCCAGCCTGCAGAGACCTTCGGCTTCTGTGGGCCTGTGGCGCTCTCAGCAGGGTGGGGCTGCGGGACCTGGGGGGTTGGGGGTGTGTGTTTCTGCTCTAGCGAGTGGAACGTGGTGGACAGCAGACATGTCACGAGCCTCTCCCCTCCCCCCGTTCTTCCTGCCGGTGCGGGGGTGCGGTTAGGCTAGGGCAGGCACTGTCTGCTGTGTTGTTAATGCCGTCACTGTCACAGCACCCACAGCACTGTTTACACCACGGTGCCACATAAACACGGTGCCACGTAAACAAAGCAGTACACGGTGATTACGCTCGATGGTCACAGAAAACAAGACACACACAGTCAGCAGCAGCACACCCGTGGGTCAAGGACTCTGCAGATATGTCTTTTCCTTTATATTCAACTGCTGTATTTTAGGAGTTTCCCAACGTGAGTACATATTACTTCTATGCACAGTAACATTAGGAGCTATGCTGAGCTTTATACCTCTCCCTGGTGCTGCTGTTGGCTGAGACATTGTGCTAAATGTTACAAAGACAACTTTAATTAAAAACATGAATGCAGGTGGGCAGAGAGCCACCCAGGGAGACACGTGGGTCCCATCACCACGTCGCTGCCGTGCGGTGGGGGCATGAGGGTGCCAGGTGTGGTCAGGCATCCCCAGGCAGCGGTAGGGGAGGGGTGGGGTGGACGGGGCAGCCATGGATGGGTGGGCTGCAGGCAGCAGACACTGACCCTGGCTCCCTACTCTCCGCTGGCAGGTCTGGAGGCTGAGGAGGCGCTGCCCTCAGGGCTGCCACCAACCTTCATCCGCTTCACCCACCACTCCTACACCCAGATGGTGCGCGTGCTGAAGAGGACGGCCGCCCGCTGCGCCCACGTGGCCAAGACCTACAGCATTGGGCGCAGCTTCGACGGCAAGGAGCTGCTGGTCATCGAGTTCTCGGGCCGTCCAGGCCAGCACGAGCTGAGTGAGCCCTGCACCTGGGGCCCAGGCCCGGCCCCGCTTGGCCTTGGGGTACACAAGTTGGGGGCGTTTGGGGTACTGGTCGAGGCAGAGGTGCTGGTGGTGCGCGGCCACGTCCCACAGGGCATGTGACACCACCGTATGTAGAAAGAATTTCCCCAGAGTATCCATTTTACTTGAAAATCTGGGGGCAACTAGACTAGTAGCAATGGAGACACTGATCTGGCGGGGATTGAACAGACGTAAAACTAACCAGAAATGTAGAGCAGAAGGTGGTGCAGGATGTGGCTTGCAGGGAGGCTGGAGGGGCCGGGCATGGTCCGGGTGTCACGGAGAAGCAGAATGAGCGCCTTACAAACCTGTGGGAGCACCAGGCCCTCGTGTGCGTGGAGGGCACGTGGGACCCTGCGCTGTGCACTTTCACTGCTTTACAGCCTTGTCCTAGAAGCTGGACGACAGGCAGCTCTGTGCAGCCCGCGGTCCTGGGCACTTGACCTGCTCTTCCAAAGTGCTCTGGAACGTGATACCACAGAGCGATATGAGTAAAGTGATTTTTCCACTTAAAAACCTGAGTGCCTTCCCATCCACACAGGCTTAGAGATCCTGCTTTGAGATGAGAGGGGGCAGCGTGGAAAATGTTAAATGCTGCTGCTCCTTTGGAGCTACCTTCTTGCAGAGCCAATTAGGAATCGCCTTTTACTGCAGCTCTAGTTTGCTGCCTACTCTAAGTTGCAGTGGGCCACTTGAGCAGGTGGTGTCTGAGATTCTAGGGTGTGCTAGCAAAGACCCAGCCCCTCCTGTGTGGGGAGATGGGGATGGCCATGCAGGTCCCCTGCCCTGGGCACCGACAGCATTCAGCACACAGGGCAAGTGGAAGGCCTCTGGGAGTCCTGCCTCGGCCCAGATCCCCAGCCTACCTGTCCACATGAGCGCACTAGTCAAACAGGATCGATCTAGAAAAAGAGTCTCCATTCGACCCTTGGTCCTTATGAGTTACTGAAAAATGCACTTCCTCTTGGCTAATCAGCTTGGGTCCCTTTTCTGCGATGGCCACCTCAGCCAGTTTCATCCTATTGGCTTGGGCAGCATGGACACCATGAACCCAAAGGCCCATCTCCTACTGGGGCCAGAGGTTGTCTGGTTGTACCTTGGCCCTCAAGGCCCACTCTGCTTCCCGCTCCAGCTGTGGTGTGCTCTGGTTGGAAGGCAGGAGCTCTCCCTGTGGCATTGGAATTTAAGGATGAGGGGTGACCACTGTGCAGAGGGGCCAGGGAGGTGACTGTTATGGAAAGCCACATTCCACATCTTGTATGTAGAATTCAAATAACATGCATTCTGACCCCTGGAGGTCTCTGTTGTATACAGCTAGGGAGGGAGATGCCATTTTCTAGGTGAGCAATGTGAGGCTCAGAGAGGAGGAGTGACTTTCCCATGGTCACTAGCTAGTACGGCTAAGAGTCCATCCACTCTTCTTCCTGCAGTATATTCATTCATCCCTTCATACGTCCATTCCTGCATCCATCCACCCATTTATTCACTCAGCCATTATTCATCCATGCATCCATCAACCAATCTGTCCATTGATCCATGTATCCATCCATCTATCCATCCATCCATCCCTCCATCCATTCATCTATTCATCCATCATCCACCCATCCATCCATTCATCCATGCATCCACACATCTATCCATTCATCCATCCATCTACCCATCGTCCATCTATTCATCATCCATCCATCCATCCACCCACTCACTATCCATCCATCCATCCACTCATCCATCCACCCACTCACCCATCTGCCATCCACCCATCCATCCATCCACCCATCCATCCACCCATCCATCATCCATCCCTCCATCTACCCATCCATCCATCTATTCATCCATCCATCATCCATTGATCCCTCCATCCATTCATCTATTCATCCATCCAGCATCCACCCATCCACCCATCCATCCACTCATCCATCCACCCACTCACCATTCTGCCATCCACCCATCCATCATCCACCCATCCATCATCTATTTGTCACCCATCCATTCATCCATCCATCCCTCCATCCATTCATCTATTCATCCATCCATCCATCCACCCACCCATCCACTCATCTATCCATCCACTCACCATTCTGCCATCCACCCATCCATCATCCACTCATCCATCATCTATTTGTCATCCATCCATTCATCTATTCATCCATCCATCCATCCATCCACCCACTCCATCCACCACCCACCATCCATCCATCCACCCATCCATCCACCCACTCACCCATCCGCCATCCACCCATCCATCATCTATTCATCCATCCATCCACCCATTCATCATCCATCCATCCTTACCATCCCTCCATTCAACCTCATCCAGCCATTTGAAGACCATCTTCTTTCCCAGCTAAGCACCAATGTGCACCTTGACTTGTTACATGAACATGAAGAGTGGCTATCAATGAAATTCACATGGATCAATGATTAACCTATATTATTATTAATACCTTTGATGTGTCATGCTAATAATTATGGCTAAACATAAAAATTGAGCTCAACAAAAGTGATGAACTTGATGAGACCTCATTATACACAGAGATTCTTGAGTTAAAACAAGTAGGGACTGGTCCCAGCACATTTGGGCAGCCTGGCTGGGGGTAGGGGGTTGAGCCTCTGGGGACCCCAGGACTTTAGAGTCAAGGCTCTGAGTCCCTGTATTTCCCCCTAGTGGAGCCTGAGGTGAAGCTCATTGGCAACATCCACGGCAACGAAGTGGCAGGGCGCGAGATGCTCATTTACCTGGCCCAGTACCTGTGCTCTGAGTACCTGCTGGGCAACACCCGCATTCAGCGCCTGGTCAACACCACCCGCATCCACCTGCTGCCCTCCATGAACCCCGATGGCTATGAGGTGGCGGCTGCCGAAGTGAGCACCCCGATATCTGGGTCTTGTGGGCCTGATGCCTCCTCATCTGTTCATTTACTGGCAGTTTTTACAAGTAGTGCTATGGGCTGGTCGTTTTAAGTCGGGGGGATTCAGCAAGGTTCTGCTTCGGCGGGGCGGGGAGGGGACGGGAGGCGCTGATGATTCCAGGTGTATTACAAATGTGATGCCTATGATAGAGAAAACTTGTGATGAAAAGGGCATGATAGTGCCAGCTGTGAGGGGCCGGGAGGTGGGAAAGGAGGCTGGGGCTGCCGGCCAGACATGCTGGCGCCCATCACATACAGCCAGATAGAGCCCGACGTCCAGGCTCCGACCCTTAGCCCAGCCCCAGGCCTCCATCTGCAAGGACTCAGGCTGGGACTTGCTGACCCTCTGTTTGGGACTGGCCTGTGTTCTAGGGTGCCAGCTACAATGGGTGGACAAGCGGGAGGCAGAATGCACAGAACCTGGACCTGAACCGCAACTTCCCGGACCTGACGTCGGAGTACTACCGGCTGGCTGAGACCCGCGGCGTGCGCAGTGACCACATCCCCATCCCGCAGCACTACTGGTGGGGTAAGGTAGGAGCCGCCGCTGCCCACCCTGTCTCCCCAAGCATCGTCCCAGGTCATTCTGGGACCCTCAGGTCCTGCCTTTCCCTCTGAGCCTCAGTCGCCTGTCTGTGAAACGGGGACAGCTCCTCACAGGGTTGTCGTTGGGATTCAGGGAATAACGTTGAAAACACGAGTCCCTGGCAGGTGCTCAGGGACGGGTGAGCCCTGCTGAAGTCACCTTGTCCTGGCCAGACGGTGCTTCCTTGCGGAGACCTTTAACAGTATCCACACACTCTTTCAGGGGGGTGCTGAGCCCCGAGCACAGAGGGCGGGGGAAGCCCGTGGAGTGGCGGAGTAGGCAGCAGGCATGCCAGTCCTGAGGGCGCCTCCTCTGTCTGGTGCAGGTGGCCCCTGAGACCAAGGCAATAATGAAGTGGATGCGGACCATACCCTTTGTGCTCTCGGCCAGCCTCCATGGGGGCGACCTTGTGGTGTCCTACCCCTTTGACTTCTCCAAGCACCCCCAGGAGGAGAAGATGTTTTCTCCCACGCCTGACGAGAAGGTGAGAGGCTGTGGGTGTGTGTGGCCCACGGAGCGGGTCCCCTGAAGCCAAAGAAGTCACCGGGCCCCTAGGAGCCTCCATGCTCAGGGTGGGTCAGAACCTCCCGCTCTGGGCCGAGCTCCCAGTGAAGCCCCCTCCTGAAGCCTTGGGCCTGGGGAGCAGCCCCTCTCTTCTCTGAGCTTCCAGATGCCTGCTGTACCCACCCTTCGTGGGCGTCCCCACCCGGGAGCTCCGGGGACCATGGTGCAGTGCACACTCTGCCTCCAAGAGCCGCCCCACCTGGCAGGTCTGGGAGTTCCCATGGGGAGGTGCGGCCCGCACCACCGGCAGGGGGCAGTGCTGCAGCGTGCATGGCATGTCCCTCCCTCCCTGGAGGAGGCTTGTCAGGTGCAGGGCTCCTCGGAAGCCAGAGGATGCCTGCTGGTCCCTTTTCCAGGCCTCAGTTTCTCTCGCTGTCCATAGACCGGCAGGCAGTGCAGCCCGTGGTGGTGCAGAATCCTACCCCACTCTCCCCAGAACCACTCACTGCCCACACCCCAACCCTGACTGTCCCTCCACGGGCCATACAGGATAGAAGCTCATGCAGCCTGGTCCTCTGGGAAGGGCCTGGGGGTTGGCGCTTCTCATTTTGTGGAGGTGAGGGAGGGGTGCAATCTGAGGTGCACAATCCACAGCCAAGGGTGCTGGTGCTCACCTCTGGGAGCTGCCCCTGGCAACCCCGCCCCAGCCCGGGCCTTCCCTCCCTCCCACCCCTCCACCTGGACTGGACTAGAGTCACTCCCCAGGCCTCCTGGTGGATCAGACAGGGGTTAGGGTTAGGGTTAGGGTTAGGCCGGGCCTGCCCTCTGCTTCTGCAGCAGTTTCCATGCAGGATTTAGGGGACGGGCCAGGTGGGCAAAGTGCCAGGCCTCGCCTCCCCACTAGTAGCATTCACATCGCTCATTCTCTCTGAGGCCCCTGGCCAAGTGGCACAGCCGGTCATCAACCCTGTCATCAACCCTGCGTCACCCAGCCCCTTCCCTGTCCTGGAGCTGCCACTATGAATGTGGACGAGACTGGTTCCTGCTCTGGGGTCCTTAGTCTGTGGTGGGAGATGGAGCCAGAAATTGTCAAGGACAAGATGGCCAGGGCCACAGGAGGGCTGCCCTGGAGGCTGGGTTTGCGTGGCTGCCGGAGCGTGTGCGCGCGTGTGTGCACGTGCATGCGTGTGTGCATGTGCTGGGTGAACCCCAGCCCTACCTAGCCTGGGCTTGAGAGGGCTTTCCTGAGGTGGTGGCTTCCCAAACGGAGCCCACAAAGGAGGTGGAGACTTCTGGTGCAGGGACCCAGGGGAGCCAGGTAGGGTAGCGGCTGGCTGTGCAGTGGGGAGACCAGGTGAGCGCCCTGCCTGACCCTGGGCCCGAGGGGGCTGTGACAGCAACACCGGGTCACTGGCCCATTTGCCCTGCATCGCATTCAGTCATTTCCCCACTCATTCATTCACTCGCTCAGTCATTCACTGACTCCTGCAACCAGCGCATACCAAGGGTGCGCGGGTGTCGGGTTGTGCTCAGAGCTCGGTGAGTGCCGCGGGCTGGCTGCCTCCACTCCCAGCCTGGCCTCCGCCCACCGGTGCAGTCGGAGAGCAGAGCGGGGCAATGCCTGGGCAAGGTAGGTGCGCAGGAGCCCCGTCATGGGGCTCAGCGTCTCTCAGCGCAGAGACAGAGGCTGCAAGATGTCTCTAGGGGGAAGTTCACCTCAACGAGTCCCACCAGAGTCAGAAAAAGTCATCCTGCTCCCAGCAGCCATCAGTCACCAATCGATAACCCTGCAGCCCTGCCGCCAGTTGCAGTCTCTGTGGAAACCAAAGCCCCAGGAGAGGCAGGGGGTGAGGGGAGTGTGAGGAGGGGGCTGGCTGGGGTGGCCCAAGGTACCCCTTTCCCGAAGGTCCAGGACACCCCAGGGATGACAGCCAGTCCTCTGGGCAGCGTTTGAGGCCCTCCAGGCCAGCCACGCTGCCTCTCTCACCTCTGCATCTGCCCTTTCACCAAAATCCTGTTCTGAGCTTGGCTCCAGGGACTTCCTGCCCGCCACACTCTCCAGCCCTGCTCACGCCCACCCCCACCCAGGGCATTAACATAGCTGCAGTTTGCCAAGGGCTCCCCAAGGCAGGAACCTGGCAGACTGGGTTTCTCTGTGGTCCTCACCTGTGTTCCTGGCCTGCTCAGTCCCAGGCAGCTGTGCCCACCTGGTTCAGTTTACAGGGGGGCATCTGTGTGCCCCTCGAGCTTTCGAGCCAGCCTCCTGGAGCATCCTCATCCTCCAGACATCCTCGCGCTGTGCACCAGGGTTTGGGGACTGACGGTTGGCTGCCTTCCATGCCTTTCCCTTAGGGAACTGATCAGTGACAGGAGGGAGGCCCAGAGTGAGGATGGAGAGGAGGGACGGTGGGGCAGGGAGGCCTTGGCAGAGCAGGGTGACGGCTGGGTCAGAAGCAGACCTCAGGAGAGTCTACCCAGCTTTGGGGATGGACCAGGAGGGGCCCTGGCAGCTGATGGTGCTGGTTAGCCCCAGCGGGAGGGGAATGAAGAAATGATCATTCATAGACAAGGTTTGCTTGGGCCACGAACTCCACGAAAACGTGGCCCACCCCTGCCCCTCCCTCCGATAATCCCCCCACCCCCTGCAGGAGTTTTAGGAACTGCAAAGCTGACCTCCACACACCCTGCCCACACCAGTGTGCATCCTCTGAGAGAAAGCACACCCTCCCGGGCCAGGTGTGCACCCCTGCACCTACCTGAGCTCTGGCAGTGCCAGACTGCCTGTGGCCACCCCCGGCCTTTGCACGGTCCGTGCTCGCTGCTCAGACACCGTCCCTTCTCCTCCTCCCCTCATTGTGCTGCCCCCACCCTAGCGCTCCTGCAGGATCCCCCTCTGGTCTTGGCCTTGCAGGGAACCTCTTTCTCGGTTGCCTTTCCAGATGTTCAAGCTGCTGTCCAGAGCCTACGCCGATGTCCACCCCATGATGATGGACAAGTCGGAGCACAGGTGTGGGGGCAACTTCCTGAAGAGGGGCAGCATCATCAACGGGGCGGACTGGTACAGCTTCACGGGAGGTGCGGCCCTGCGGGGCAGGGGCGGGGCCAGCCCTGTGGGTGGGGCAGCTTGGAGTGGGTCCATGGTGGGGAAGGCCGTCCATGGGGTGGGGTGGGACAGGGCCATGGGCAGGGCGGAGGGTGAAGGTGGGACCAGGGGCAGGGTGGAGGTGAGGCTGGGCTGCTGGTGGGGCTGAGTGGGGTCTAGGCTGGGGTGGGGCTGTAGGGTAGTGCTGTGGCCATGGGGGGTGGGGAGGGGAGGGCCACGGGCTGGGCTATGGCCATGGGCAGGGGTGGGGCCACCTCACAGGGCACCCTATTCATAGGAACTAGCTCTGGAATGTTGGAGACCCCCAAAGGCCTCACGGTGGGCAGAGGCGGCTTGAGTCTACCTGCAGCCTCGGGGGAAAGTGCGCCTGTTGCGGAAGAGCCCACTTTTCCCAGTCGCCTTCTCTGCAGTGTTATCACCACTGGCATTTCACAATTCCACCTGTGACCCATCCTTTTGTGCCTTTTAGGGGCTAAATAGGTTGCGATGAAATACTGGAGCCCCAGTTAAAGTGGAATTTCAGAGAGACAATGAAGAATTTTTTTAGCGCAGTATGTCCCAATGATGGGATATACTTATAAGAATATGCATGGGGTATACTTACACTAAACTGTTATATTTGTCTGAAGCTCAACTTTAACTGGGCGTCTGCATTTTTATTTGCTGAAGCTACCCTGGGTGAAGGCATCACAGCAGTAAGGTGTGGTCGGCACGCTGGCGTGTTCCCTGAGGGCCACAGCTGAGCTGCACCACACGGCCTGCCGTCCCCCACCCCATACTGCACAGACCATCTGTGTCGTCCTGCAGATGAGGACACTGGGCTCAGACAAGGGAAGGACTTGCTCTAGGTCCACAGCCATAGGTGGCAGAGCTGGGACTCACATTCCAACCCTATCTCCCTGCGCAGGCAGAGAAGGTGGCCATCTTCCTGTGCTCTGAAGCCACGTCCACGGCCTGCTCTGCACACATTCCTCCTGTGACTGGCACATGTAGTCTTTTCCCTTGGACAGGGCAGCTTCTCCCCCTCCCAGAGCCCAGGCACAGCGATCCAAGGGCACGTCTGTCCCTTGGACTTGGAGGGGAGGGCACAAGGCAGAAAGGGGCTGTCAGAGGCCCGGGTAGGGGCAGGCAGCCTGACTGAGAAATGACCACTGTGTTGGGGCTGAGGTCGCCCAGAAACATGGTCCTCCGTGGCCCCATTACTGGCATCTGCAAAGGACCCCCATGGGCTAAGCTGGGAGAGGCAAGGCTCCCCTCCTGCAGCGGGCACGGGCCCAGGGAAAGTATGGGGCCGGTGGTCAGGCCCAGGGCCAGCTGGAGGGACTGTGGCTGCACTGGGAGACCGGGACAGTGACAGTCAACAGTGACCATGGGCACTGGGGCTCCCTGCGGCCCTGACACAGGCTGCCCTGTCAGTGCCACGCGCCCCGGGCCTACCCCAGAGATGTTCATGGCTTCTGCTGGACAAGAGACTGCAGCAGCAAATGGAGCAGCGGCAGGAGCTGGTGGGGCCTCAGTCGGCCGAACATGCCATGCCATCTTTCTCTGTCCCCTCCCTGGCTGGTTGCCCAGCCTGGTCAAGCCCTGAGTCCTGAAAGATGTTAATAGTAAGACCACCCTCCCTGGCTGTTGTCAGGACAGCATCTGGGTAAATGGACATTGTCATCATTGTGAGACCAGACTCCTGGGGACCTCAGGCCAGTAGCTCCATTCCAAGGGAGCTGCCCGCCACTTGCTGCCGGTTTCTCCACTAGAAGTCGGTTTGTTCTCTACCTGGAGACAGCAGAGTGTGTGGCTAAGCCTGTGGTGTGGTTTGCCCCCACACCGCCTGGGTGCAAAGTCCAGCTCTGCCCTGCCCACTGTGTGACCCTGGGTAAGGCCCCTAAATGCCTGAGCCTCCATCTGCTTACCTGTAAGGTGGGATGACAACAGCCACCTCGTGTTCAGCCCCTCCACACGGAGGAGGTGGCCGCTGTTGGTGAATGCCTGCACGCACTTGCCCGTCCACACTGCCCACGGGCACGCGGGCTGGCAGCACCCCTGACGGCGTGGCTGCCCCTGTGCCGCAGGCATGTCCGACTTCAACTACCTGCACACGAACTGCTTTGAGATCACAGTGGAGCTGGGCTGTGTGAAGTTCCCCGCCGAGGAGGCCCTGTACACGATCTGGCAGCACAACAAGGAGCCGCTCCTGAATTTCATGGAGATGGTGAGTCCCTGGGCGGCCTCGCTGCTCTGGGGGCCTGGGGCGGGACAGACTGAGCCGCCAGGTGACCCCTCGGCCTCTGCATTTGGGCTGTGCGTGGTGGGCCTCGCTGCCCTGCGTGAACACGCATTGAACCTTCACGTGTTTGCGGGCTAACTGCCCATGCACGACACAAACCAGCAGCGTGCTGGGGAGCCCAGGGCCCTACGTCAGAGTCCCCATGAGCAAGGGTCTCATGGCCTAAAAGGGGCATTATTAAACAAGGGAGTGCAGTGACTGGGGCTGCCCAGGGGAGCCACCCAACCCAGCCTCGGAGGCCGTGGGGGCTTCGTCTTAAAGAAGGGTGGGGGAAACCAGGCAGCCGGGCAGGAGGACTGGAGCGGGGGCAGCGCGTGCCAGGACTCCACGGGGCCTTAGCACTCCTGGGGCTGCAGGGGGAGTGGGCCGTGGGACGGGGTGGGCACTGCTCTCAGGGAGGCTCTCGGGTGAGGGCTGTGGCCGCCGGGAGCTGTGTACTCCAGGCAGGGCTTTGGGGCACGTCTGTCCCTTGGACTTGGAGGGGAGGGCACAGGCAGAAAGGGGCTGTCAGAGGCCCGGGGAGGGGCAGACAGTCTGACTGAGGGGTGACCACTGTCTTGGGGCTGAGGTCACCCAGAAATAGGTGGGTAGACAGTGAGTGGGGACAGCTGAGAGTATGTCTAAAATATCCCTCCCTGAACTTGGGAGCCAAGGTCCCCCCAGAACTCAGTGTCAGTGCAGGCACTGCCTTCCCCCAGCAGGGCCCACAGAGGGTGCTTGGACCTGGGAGGCACTCGGGAGGTCATTAGAAGAGAACCTGGGTTTTGAAGAAGCTTCTGCTATTTTTTTCCAAGCATTTCCAAGAATCATGCCAGTTGCATATTGGCACAGACATCCTAGTTAGAAACAGTGTGAAGTAGGCCCTCAGAGAGAAATAGGATTGCCCCAAAGCAGCAGGAGGGCGTGGAAGGGCACAGCACTCTATAGTTGGCACCCACCCATATATGGCATCTACTTCTGACACCGGTCCTGGGTGCAGACAGGACTGCCCCATTTTAGACAGGTTCAGGGGAAGGACAGTGCTGGGCTCACATTAGAGGTGCACAGTGGCTGTGATACTGCCAGCAGAGGAGACAGAGGGTCAGAGAGTGACATGGCCTGTCCAGCGTCACCCAGCGATTGCCCAGAGCTTGAGCCCAGATCTGCCCGTCCCCAGACCCCAGTTCTGTCTGCGAGCCCCTTCCTTTCTAGAAAGATCAGGAGCCTTCCTCCAGGTAAGAACCAGGCAGAGCCTTCCTGGGGCAGCAGCAGCTGTAGCCATAGGAAGAAGACACAGTCCCAGGTAATAATTGAACGTTATTAGTGTTGTTTGAGTTTCTTTTTTATGGCCGTGCCAGCGACCTCTCCATACTTGGGGTGAGTCTCATCATTCGATAAGGGCTCCAGGCCAGACCTTGGCACTCGTTTCATTTTACGGCTGTCTGGCGAAAATGAGTTTTAAGGAGCCTTGTGTGGAGCTGGGATTGCTCTGTGGATATTGTACGTGAAGTCTTGGGACACGAAGATTTACTAGCGTGTGCCGCACTGCGAAGGCCGGGCAGCAGGCTTGGCCGGCTCCCGAGACGGACGGCCCCCAGGACAGCCGGGCGCTGCCTTCTGATAAGGATCGAGTCTGTCGTGGCCAATTGAGGCTTTTTTCAAATTATCCTGACCAGCCCTTGGGTGGGTGTCTGCGTCGCTCTGAGTGGGGGCGGGTGCAGCCATCTCTCCCTCCCTGCATGAAGATGACTCTTCACCCCAAGAGCAAGGACAGAACAGAATCTATTGGTGCAGGCTGACGTCAGGTGAGCCCCTGCTCTCAGGTGGGGCAGGGAGGCAGAAGTGACACCACCGTGAGGTCAGGGCTGGGAGAGAGGACGCTCAGGGCAGTGGGGCCCTGGAGGAAGCCCCTGGGGCTGGTCATCAGGGAGGGCCTCCTGGAGGAAGAGGTGTGTGAGCTGTATCCTGAAGGGAAAGGAGTCGGCCAGGTGGGGAAGCTGGCAAAGAGGGAGTTCTCGGTGAAGGGGTTCAGGTGCCAGCCCGTGGGGGCGTCCTCTGTCCCTCCTGTTTCTCCTCATCTCCCCCAACCCAGGGGAATCTTACCGTATGCGCTCCGACCCCCTCCCCCAGACGAGAGTCTGGCAGAGACTGTTTCAGGTACGCAGCTCTGTTAAGCAGTGACCTGTGGCAAGAACATCCAGGCAGTGGTCCTAGGCCCACAAGGGCAGCGGGCGGTGGCCAGTCACATGCCCTCCACCATGTTGGGGGGCCGAGACCGCGTGATGTGATGTGCTGGGCTCTGGCTTCCTGAGTCCAGTGCTGGCATTGGCCAAGGCGGGAGAGACAAGTGCCGACCGCTGTCTGGCGGGGCTGCAGGTGGGGCGTCAGAGGGCGCTGACAAGCCGTGAGGCGCTCCCAGGTCTGGGTCCAGCTCCAGCTCTGCGGCTGGCCAGCCGTGTGTCATCAGTCAAACCAGTTGCCCTCATTTCTTTGTGGGTCACAGTGAGGGGACAGCAGCAGTGGGATCAGAGTTCACACGTTGGCTAAAACCTCAGAGCAGCGCAGGACGCACAGTGGGTCTGGCAGCACGCATGGTGCTGTGGCTTTGCCGACACGTTTCATAGCTGGGGAGACTGAGGCACAAGAAGGAGACGGTTTGTCCCGTGTGCAGTGCGCCACGTCAGGGACCTACAGCCAGGGCCGCTGGGGCAACCCGGTGTCCTGGTCTTACTCGTCGTGACCTTCAGACCCCGGGTTGTTTTCTGTTGGAGGGAGAAGGCCACTTGGCTGGTTCATGGGGGTGTTTTCAGAAGAAATGTGGCCATGATCAGGCAGCTCTGGGAGGTGCTTTCCTTTTGGAAAGTGAATGTCGGCTGCATGTGCAGGGCCAGTTCCCACCGGGCCGGGCGGGCCGTGTCCAGCTCTGGCTACTCTCTCTGTGTGGGGATTCTCGCCTGCTGGTGACACTGAGGCAGGGTCGTCCCACCATGTGCAGGAGGGAAACCGCGCTGGTGTCACCAGGGCCCAGTCTGTCCTTGCCAGCGCTGCCCTCAGGAACCTCAGCGCAGAGCGCAGCAGCGAGCCCTGTGCCGCCGGGAGGGCAGGAGGGAGCTCAGATAAGTCAGAGGGCGGCAGGAAAGGGTCCTCCGCTCGAGGCCGGTGGCCTGGACATGGAGTCAGCCAGACGCTGGGCAGAGCCACAGAGTCCTCCGAAGACCCCCATGGGCTTGGGTTGGCTGGCGGTGCCTGGCACTCAGGCCACCTCAGCAGCCTCTCCTGCTCTCCCCAGGTGCACCGCGGCATCAAGGGAGTGGTGACGGACAAATTTGGCAAGCCGGTCAAAAACGCCCGCATCTCGGTCAAAGGCATCCGTCACGACATCACCACAGGTGAGCTCCTTACTAGCCCTCACCCAGGGCCTGTGCTTGCCAAGGGGACGCCACTCGGTGGCCCGGTGCCCAACAGGATGGTGTCACTCATCCCAGGTCGGCCTAGTCGGCCATGGGTGGGAGCCTGGGGTCTGCGTCTGCCACGAGCCATGTCCCCTGCAGTTGGCCCGTGGATGAGTTTGCTGGGGTCATGGCTGCTGATTGACAGTCAGGCGTGTTCTGTATTCCCAGGGAGATGCCTCCTTCTCAGAGATGGCTGGGGAGAGCCACCCCACTCAGGAGCCTGTTTGCTTACACCCCACTGTGTGTCCAGCCCTGTGTGGGCTCCAGCTGCCCTTGGGGACTCCACAGCACACTGTGTTGTGTGATTGGCAGAAACACGGCCTAGAGGAGAGAGGGACTTGGGTATCGGGGGTGGTGATGGTCACTGAAGGCTTCAGAGAAGACAGGCTGCCTAAGCAGGGCTTTGAGGGATGAATAGGAGTCTGACAGAGAAAAGAGGTGAGAAGGACATTCCAGGCCCATGCAGAGGCAAGTACACGTTTGGGGTCTGCCTGCCCTCCGTGCTCCCCTCCCCCAGTCGCTCCCACCCATCGTTCGAGGCTGGGTCTGCAGCCCTGGTGCGAGTCATCTTTATTCCATTTGTCCATAGCTCCGGATGGTGACTACTGGAGGCTGCTGCCCGCAGGGTCCCACATTGTCATTGCCCAAGCTCCTGGCTACTCCAAGGTCATCAAGAAAGTCACCATCCCCGCCCGGATGAAGAGGGCTGGCCGCGTGGACTTCATTCTGCAGCCTCTGGGGATGGGACCCAAGAAGTTCTTTCCCGGGCTGAGGAGGACTGGGCCCGGGACCCACGCCCCGCCGGGAGGTGCCAGCCCTCGGGGGGCTCCCACAGAGCCTGACCTCGACCCCCTGGGGGCGCGCAGGCCGCCCTCAGCCAGCGGGAGCAAGCCCTGGTGGTGGTCCTACTTCTCCTCGCTCAGCCCGCACAGGCCGCGCTGGCTGCTCAGGTACTAGCCCACCGGCGCTCCTCCCTGGGCGCGGAGGCCCAGGCCACCCTGCGTCCTGACCTTATCTGCCACAGACACCCCACAAAGCCATTGCAGTTTTATTAAAGTGTTTTTATTCACCTTCTACTGTGAGGAAGGCTCTGTGTGAGGTGCCTGCCAGGACAGGAAGGAACCCAACCTGTTACTTGGAGACAGCCTTGGCCTGGTCCACAGGTCGGCGCTGGGCAGGTGTCCTGGTGCCCCAGACAGCCAGGTGCGCGGCTGGGACTCCAGCCCACCTGTGCTGGGCCCAGTGGACCAACTGGCCTTTCCCAGACCCCCAGGCCTCGAACTCACTTTACAGATGGGGAAACCAAGGCTGGGGGCAGTGGCACAAGGCCACCACAGGCTGAGCTCTGGGTCTTGCAGCACAGCTGTCTGTCCGGGACTGCAGGGGGGTGCCTAGAAGGGAAGAGGATGGCAGCTGATGACCCCAAGGCACGCTCCAGGCCTGGAGGGCAGGAGAGCTGTCCAGAACTTGGGGTCCGAGGGGTCACATTCAGAGGCTCACAGGCTTCCAAGGGCCCTGACTCCAGGGGGATGGGTCTTTCTTGCCCCTCATCCTTTTGATGCCATGAGCTTGGGTCCAGGGACCCTCCCCACAGGGACCCCTCCTGGTCTGCCTCTCTTACCCTCACGAGGGTCTGTTGGTCCTGGGATCTGCCAGGCAGAGCTGTGTATCCTATCAGAGAATGCGGGCAAGGAAGGTGTGTCGGTCAGCTAGGGCTGCACAACACGGCGCCCCAGACTGGGCCCTTAGACGACAGAGACTTATCGTTTCACAGTCTGGAGGCAGAAGTGGAGATCCAGGTGGGGCAGGGTCCCTCTGAGGCCTCACTTCCTGGCTGCAGACAGCGTCTCCTCCCTGACCCTTCATATCATCTTCCCTCTCTGTGCCCTTGTGCCAAATTTCCTCTTCTTATATTGGGTTGTGGCCCACCCAAATGGCCTCGTTTCAATTTGATCACCTCTTTGAAGACCCTATGGGGGTTCGGACTTCAGCATATGAGTTTTGGGGGAACACAGCTCAGCCCCTAACAGACATCGTCTGCAATGCAGGGGGCTCCTTGCGGGCTCCCGGGCTTGCCTTTGGTCCCTTGATTTCCAGGCCTGGGCAAGGTTGCCCCACACGGAAACAGGGGGTCTGCTGTGAGGGGCCTTGGCCTCAGCAGAATGACAGCACAGTCCCCACCAGGGCCACCGGCGTCACCCATCGTCGCTGGCAGCCTGGGCCCCGACACGGGAGGCCTTGGGCTCACAGCCGAGGCCCAGAGGAGCAGTGAGGCTGGGTGGCGATGCTCGTGGGGAAGGCTCAGCGAGGGCTCAGTGCCCCGCAGCTGCGCTCGGGGCCATGGCTCGCAGCGTGCCAGGTGAGGCGCGTGTGTACCTGCCTCATTTTCCTCTAAAAACCTGTCTTCCTTTATGTCCCTGAATACGCCATAGTTCACTCGTGTGCCTGTTGCGATGCCCACGCCTCATAAACACCTTTCCTTTTAGAGCTCCTCTCTCGGTGTCGCCCAGGTTCCCATCAGCGCGGGAAGTGGCTCTTGGAAGACACGCCCGGGCACCAGGGACACTTGCTGCTCCCGGGGTGTTCACCAGGGACAGAGCTAGAAATGGGTTTCTTTTTAAAGGGAAAATCCAGAGCGTTCGTATTGACACTTCCAATTCCAAGTCAGAATCACCTCTTTCTCCTGTGTGGAGAATGCTGGTTTCACCCGTGGCTATCCTGGAATTGGAACGCTGTGTGATCACGGCTTGCCGCGTGCACGGCGCACACGTGACAGTCTCAGGACAACGCCAGCAGTCCCACTCACAGCAGGATTGCTGAAAGCAGCTCCGGGTCTTGTTTTTTGAAAGTCCTTTTGTTCTGGGATAGAAGCCAGCAGGGATATAAGGTCAAAGGATTCACCTTTTCTGATGCCAGCCGCTGAGAAGACCCCCGTGCGGAGGGCAGGGAAGAGCCACACCCCTGTAGAGGCAGCCTAGCCGGGATGTGCAGACCCAACAAACACCCAGAGCTGAGGCTCCGGGGGACCCGATGGGCATCACTTAACACACAGCAAAAAGACAAACAGATACATTCAAGAGCAATGAGACAAATTTCTGGAACTTAAATTCATGATTTGTAAACCGAAACCCATCTATGAGCTGAAATGGGAGAGACTCGTGTCCCTGAGTTCTGGATTAGGGTTGGGGAAGACAAGTGGGAGAATAACTTGACTCGCAGGGCGAAGATGCTGTTTGGAGGAGATCGTGAGGGAAAAGAGATTTTGAGAACAAGTGGAGCAGCCCCACGTGCAAATAACAGGGACAGAAGGAAGAACGAGAAATAGAAAAAACATTTTTGTGAGCTAATGAAGCGCCCGCGTCTGCGGGTGGAAAGGAACCTCAAGTTCCCGACAGGACTGGTGCGGAAAGTCGCACCGTCAAGTACAGATTGATAAGATTCCCGAACTCAAAGGAAAAGTAGGCATTTTATACACTTCCGTAAAAGGAAAATAAGGCAAAACCCACCAGATTGGCACCGGACTTCTCATTTGTAACTGAAAGCTGAAAGATGATGACCTGATGTCAACAAAGTATTCAGAGGAAAGGGCTCTGACCGGGAGATGAACAATAATAATAATAAATTGATGCGATAGCTGATGCCCACGGCCTGTCTTCCCTATCCAGGCACGGCTTAAAGTGTTGTCTGAGCTTGTTTATTTGTTATCTCTCATTAACGAGAGATGTATTAGAATCAGGCCCATTTTATAAGCACAGAGAGGTTAAGTAACTTGTCCACAGTCACACAGCTAAGGTCAGAAACTGGAACACATGTTTTCGGGATGGGTTTGTGTTCTTAGCCACTCTCTAACTGCCTCTTCAGATAGAACTTATGGCTCCCAGAGAAAGACATTTCCACATTTGCAAGGAGTAAGGGAATACACCACCAGATACTCATCTGAGCAAAACACCGCAGCCTTAGAGCCCCAGCACAGAGGAAGCTGGAAGTAGGGCTGTCCTGCTATGCTCATTGTGAGACCGAAGGAGAGGTTAGAAGATGGGGAAGTGTGACTCAAGTGTGAAATTGGGGGCCATGAAGTAGAGGGACATCCCCAGGGCTGGCTTCATAGCCCTGGCTGTGTGGGCGGTGGAAGGGCCCCTCCAGCGGGGTCGCCACGGTGGAGAACAGGTTCACAGGGAGCATGCAGATGCCAGGGGCAGGGCTCATGGCTGCTGTCACTGGGCTGGGAGTTTGGGTTCCACCTGAGAACACAGAGCTGAAGTTTGGACTCCACTTGAGGACACAGAACTGGAGTTTGGGCTCAAGCAATGCTCCTGCCTCAGCCTCCTGAGTACCTGGGACTACAGGTGAACACCACAATGCCCGGCTAATTTTGAACAATTAAAAGAACAATTTACGAATAAGACAAAATAATCAGCATTATGCACTGATCAATTTAGCAGCTAACTCTAGAAAGCCCAGTTATTTAAAAATACAAGGAGAACTTCATAAAAGCAACATGCCAGTAGGAATTGCAAGGTACCATTTTCAGAATCAGATGATAAATAAATCAATCCAGCTTTAGAGAAATTAAACCACATAACCAGCAAACCTGATTTAACAGAGGTATAAACATTTCTTACTTCAAATAGAGATTATACTTTTTTCAAAGACCCATTGAGCACTTATAAAAATTGATAATGTACTTAGTGACAAAGCCTTAAGAAAATTTAAAAGGCAGAGATTTTCTTTAGTCATTTTCTAGAAAAATTAGAAATAAATTAATTAGTAAATTTTCACTCTCCTCTCCCCCAAAACCCGTTGCCATGTGGAAAGTAAGAAGCACACTTAGATGGTACCTTTTGTCTTGGGAACAGGTCTGGCACAGGCTGAGAACCTACGGAAGGCAGATTACCACGGTGGGCATCTGCTTCTGACGTGACAGTCTGGGCTGTGTGGGGGGCAGGCAGCACGTTGCTTGGAGGGCCCAGCCCCACCATCCGGGGGGTCCTCCCTGTGGTCCCCAGCGGCTCCCCACCACACCTGTATCCCCGAGGGCAGGCACAGGAAGGCGGGGCCCAGGTCAGTTTTGCTCACTCTCCTTGGCCAGAGGTGTCACGTGGCCATGCCCAGGTCCAGGAACTCGGGGAGATGCAGGTTAAGCCCAGGAGGGAGTGTGTCCAGTAAAACTGGGGGCTCTGTCGCTGCAGGAAAAGAGCAGAACGGGCTTGGGAAGACAGTTAGACTCTGCGTCACATGCTGGGAGTAAAAAGGAGATGAAAACCGAAAGCAGGCACTAACCTGAGTGCAGCGAAAAGGAAGGCTCCTCGATGGGATATAACGAGAGCCGGAAAACCCTTCATTTTTGAAGAAGAAAGACTAAAAATAAAGGAATTAATTTATCACTTTAAGAACGTGTTAGAAAAAGAGATGAAAATGACAGGGACGGTAGATGATAAAATAAATACGAAGCAAGCAAACCCCGACAAAGGAGATACAGCCCCGCACACCCCACAAGGAACAAGAGGGAAAAGCAGTCGTAATGAAGAACGAGGAAGACGTAACTAAAAGTCAGAAGAGATTTGAAATATTTTTAAAGAAAAGTTCATAGAACTCTTCATCTAACTCTTCAATAAAATTAAAGACCAAGAAAGAAGAGATGGCTTCCTGGAAATGTATAAATGAGATATATAAGTATATTAAATATAAATATGAATGGGCACGGTTAACCCAGGAAGAAGCAGCTGACTGAGCAGATCTCACGCCGTGGTGGTGGTTGGGGCTGGGGGGAGGGGGTGGGTGCCTATAATGGATAGGGGGTTTCTTCTGGGGCAGATGAGAATGTTCTGGAATTAGACGGTTGTGAGGCTGTGCAACTCTGTGAGTATACTAAAACCCAATGAACTGTACACTTTAAAGTGGTGAATTTTAAGTGACATGAATTTCATCTCAATTTAAAGAAAAGCGTTCGAGAGGAGGCTCCGCGGAGGAGACTGGGAAGGGGCTCCGGAGATGAAGAGGCCAAACCAGGTGACAGTCTTAATGAGGAGCCCCGTTCCA